CCCAAAAATGTTGAAAGGAGATAAGGACTTTCCCCTAGAATTGACAGAAAGAGACCATGTTCCCCTATATCTGGCGTCATGAATTTGGACTTCTAGCCCCTAAGCAGTGAGAGAATAAATTCCTTTTGTTAAAACCAACCACTCAAGGTATCTGTGTTATAGCAGCACTAGATAACTAAGGCTATTACCATTCCACCGAGGCTGCTATTGGAGTCCTGGTGTAGCACTGTAGGATAAGCACTGGACTGTAAAGTTGGTTTGAATTGCAAAGTCGGCAGTTCAAATCCACCTGCTGCTCCTCAGAAACCCTATACAGTGTCACTGAGTCAGAACAGTGTGAATGAGATTTTCGATGGCTGAAAATGGCACTTAACAGCAACAAGTATGCTATTGGGTCTGATGCCCCTAGCCGAGTACATGACCCACACTCTCTGTTCCTTTGGTAGCTCAGAGTCAGGATCTCTTGACAGAAATTCCGGTCACAGAGGCCAAAGAAAGTCTTTCAAGAATAAGAGATGCCAAGTACAGTCAGGACTCAGGAGGGAACATTAGACTGAGTAATAAATAAAGGGACCGCCAGCATTCCCTGTGGGTATAGAGGTGGTGAGCTGCATTAATAGCTACAGTAGCATTTTGTGCTTACCATATGTTATTCTGGAGCCACTGCATAGTACAAATGGTTACCATGCTAGGCTTCCAACCAAAAGGTCAGAGGTTTGAATCCACCTCAGAAGAAAAACCTGGAAATCTACTTTCCTAAAATCAGCCATTGAAAATCTCATTGCACACAGTTCTAAGACACACCCAATTTCTTGAGTCAAGGTTGCTGTGACAGCAACTGGTTTTGTTTGTTTGTTTCTTGTGAATTGAGTGAAAGTTCACATGGCAAGTCATTAGTTTTACATCCATCAAATCATATTTTGTCTTACTGCAATGATTACAATCACCTCCATGTACTATCATTTACCAGTATTCCCTCTTTTCTTTTCTTTTTTAAGTTTTGATTGTGAATTGAGTGATAGTTTACATGGGAGAACATCGGTTTTACACTCATCATTTCATTGCAATGATTACAATTCCTTCCATGCATCATCATTCAACAATATTTGCTTCATTCCCTCTGTTTTGGGGTTTATTTGTGGGGGACTGTACACAGAAATACTCAGGAATATATAATAATTTAAACAACCAAAGAGCTCATTCTGCTCTATCCCTCCGTGTCCTCCTCTCTGTCTCCAACTCTGGTATCACTGCTTCTCTGGATAGGGTCCCACATTCCACTCATGCTCTTCTCCCCTGATGGCCCTAGGGTCCTTTGTTCCTGGACTGTAAGATTAATTACTCCCCTCTTTTTGTTATAAAACTTCTACCTTTATAATTGTGACAGTCACAATTAGTCATGATAACAATTACTATTGAATCATAAGAATCTTATCCCCATCTCTTTTCACCAGACCCGTCTAGACAAGATGAATACTATTCAGTGGGGATTCTAACTTCCCCTGCACACCCTGAAACTAAACTCTCTCTTGAAAACTTGTAAGCCAGTCACTTTGTGCCTTTATAGCCCCCCCAACTCCATTTTAGGTCACCAATGTCTAAGTTGCCCATCCCTATCAATCCTGTGTACAGAGGGGATAGGATTGATATTTGATGTGTGAAGACTCCTTCCCTCTCAGTTGGTATTTTGGGCTACTATAGCCATAAGTATAGGTCAAGATCATCAAATTGTAGCAATTTACACTTGTTTCCTTTATTCAAAAAAATTTTTTTTTAATCTTCCTCTTGAGATCTGATCATCAAGCCATCGAAGCTAGGTTGAGTGGGTACTATCTACAAGTTTGGGCATCCTTGTGTGTCTCCCCTTACTTCATATCAGCTAGACACTTCACTCCCATCTCTAGCCCTCCATGGCTTTGTCCTTGTCCATGGGCTCAGAAGTTGCCAGGTCTCATCACACTTCAGACCAAGCAGCCTTTCCTTTTCTTGCTCTTATCTCCATGTTGACAGGAGTCTATGGAACATGGTTGAACTGAGCAACTAGTTTTTATTCCCATGGGGGAAATTAAGCACAGAGAGGTTAACGGACTTTCCCGATGTCACAAAGTTAGTATGTGCTGGAGTGGGATTGAAAAATCTAGACAGTCTGGCTCCAGACTTCATGCTGTTAACCCACAGGCCATATTTATCATTCTAAGCTGTGAGGAAGGAAAAGGGGCATTTTTAGAGAGGACCAGTAGAGGGAAGGATTGGAGGAGAATTGGAAAGGATGATTTATAGGCTGAGTTGTTCCCTATTCTGGACCATAAATGGCAGGGACCTGCCAGCAGCTGAGAATCAAGATAAACTGACTCATGAGGGAGGAACTGGTAGGAGCCTGGGGACTACCCCCTTCCCTGGGGAGAGGCTTCCCGTCAAACACCTTTATCTATGGTTCTGTGGGAAATTCATTACCCAGTACTTCAGGGTGCCTGTACAGGGAAGCATTCAGGCCACAGATGTGGGTGGAGCAGAGGCCTGAAGTGCAGACAACTAGGTTGCCCTAGGGGAGGGTGAGCTACCAGAGAAAAACTCCCAGGACAACAGGGCCTGAGCTCTTCAGTCCCAGGGTCTGGTTTCCCAGATACAAGAAAATCTCTAAGTGCTAAGTGCTAAGCGGGAATTCTGGTTTGGTGCTGTAGGATAAGCATTGGACCATAAGGTCGGTTTGAGTTAGCAACAAAGTGCTAAGCAGCCTAGAATGATCTAGGGAAGTCCTAGACCAGAGCTTAGGGAGGGGGCTTCAGGGCCCTGATGGTCAAAGCCCCACCCAGGTCAGGTCTGGGCCTTCTAGATTTCCAGGACACACACACACAGAGCCCTGCTTTCCTCACGTTGATACCTCACCTGGGCCAGGAAGGAGACTACACCTTTAGTTCGGCCCTGGAGTCTTGCAAATCTTGCTATTCATAGAAATCTTGCCCCACCCCCACCTCCCAAAAGAAAAACAACAAAGGAGCTGCCTGGTTGAAGTTCTCCCCAACTTTATAGGGGTGAGTCAGATCCAATTCTACCATAGGGGGCTGTGGGGTGAGCTGAAGACCTCCCTGTAAGATGACCGCAGACCAGAGTAATAAATTGCTAACAGAGAGGAAGCCTAGAAGGCTTTGAGGAGTGATCTGGGGAAGATTCTGGCAGGTTTCCCAAGCAATCCTCTGTTGGAGCTAGATATTGAAGGTTCAGTAAAATGAGCTAGACCAGAGGCTGGTGAGGGTGCTAGGAGTCAGGGATTGTAAATGGAGGCAGCCTAAGAGGGAAGAAAGTGCACGAGAGGAGATCCACCCAGGGTGCGTGGGGTGCAGAAAAGCCAGGGTGATCTCAGAGGGTCTGGCATATTCAGCTTCAACCTGGGACCTGGCACTGTTTGACCTGGGGACAAGTTATGGGGCATTCAAGAAAAAGGCTGAATCTCTGAATGACTCTTCTGAGTGTTAGGTAGATTCTGAAAGACCTGTAGGGAGAAACTGAAGGAAATGGATTAGGTTTTTCATAAAACCTGGGAAAATTGGCAGCCTTGGAAATACTATGGGGCAGTTCTACTCTGTCAGAATTGACTGGATGACAATAAGATTGTTTTGTTTTGGAATGCCTGCACAGTTTTTCTGAATACTTCCAAATGCCCTGTGAGGGAAGTGTTATTGATGAGAACACTGAAGTTCCGGCTTGTTTGATTCCCAACCTGTACTCCTAACCACCTTCCATGCTTCCGCAGTTTAGGAATACCTGCCAGTTGAACCATCCCACAGTGTCAGATGGGTGTTTCACAGGAAAGGGAAGAGCAGGACCACCACTCCTGAAGTTTTGCAGAAGGACCTCAGCACTAGATGGATAACTGAGCTTCCGGGTTCTGGTGCTTAATGTTAATTCTTCCAAATGAAGCAATTGAGCCCTAGTGGTATAAGTGTCCATCCAAGAACCTGGACATGCCTAGGAATCAGGATGCTGGATCCAAGGATGAAGGGGTTCCACATCTCTAGGCCTGAATCTCCAGATCTGTGGCCTTGCCAGCCCTGTTGCATGGGCAGGGAAAGGATTTCCAGAGCCTGGACTAGAAACGGAGCGGTGTGAATAGTGTATAGGATCCTAGTTCTGGAGCTAACGCCCTTATCTAGGTCCAGTTTGGATACTTCCGGCCTCTCAAGCTCCCCAGCTCTGGCTTTGAACCTAGCCTCTAACATACCCTAGCCGTGTGCTCGTGGGCAAGTAATTAACCATTGGATGCCTCATCTGTGAAATGGAGATGATTCCTACCTCTTGGGGTTGTTGATAAGCAGTCCATGAGAGAATGATATAGTAGAGTCCTTGGCACAGTGCTCAGTGACCATCAGCTGTTATTATTACAACAATGTGTCATGTACCTGTCACCTCATCTGGAGAGTGGGACAGTAATCCCTGTCATCCTGGTTTCCAGGACATGGTATGAGCTGTGGGGTCAGTGCAGATGGCAATTCTGCTACTCAAAGTTCAGCCCAGCCCAGCCCTACATGGGTAGTAGACACACCCAGTTCCCAGGACCAGGGAAACTGGCTGATAGCCTCAATCCATCAATGATAGCCTTCGTCCAGCCTCACTTTATGGGCCCAGGAGGTACTTAAGTTTGTGGGGGGTGAAGACTAGCCCAGTTCTTCTTCTTCAGCACAGGCTGCACCCCAGAGCAGGTAGGTAGGTCTGGAGTGGGAGGAGAATGGCCTGGGCCTGGGAAGGCCAGATTATCAGCTTTGTGAGCAAGGCCCCAAGGGATAGTGGTGAGTCGGGTCTGGAATTGAGTCATATCTTCTGCAGTTCAGGGGCAGGGAGAGGAGGGAGATGTGTGTCATCTGCTCTGTAGCTTCTTCCTCCCCCTCATTCAGTGACTCTGGTGAAGGCCAGGTATATTAACCAAAGCAGAAGGGACATGGCCTGGGGAACCGAGTGTGGGGATAGGCAGGCAAGCTAAGGAGAAGGCTTGCTGGAGAAAGGGACAACCATGGGGGCAGCTCTTGTGACCTCCTGTCTTAGGGACTCAGCACCATGACGGTTTCATACACCCTCAAAGTGGCAGAGGCCCGCTTTGGTAGCTTCTCTGGCCTGCTTCTCCGCTGGAGAGGAAGCATCTACAAGCTCCTCTACAAGGAGTTCCTACTCTTCATTGCCCTTTATGCTCTGCTCAGCATCACCTACAGGTGAGGGGTGAGGGCAAAGTCTCAGGGCTGGCCTTTGGGGGCAAAGCTGCCCATTTCCCAATAGCCCAGGCCCACACCTGATCCTCACCAGGCTACTGCTGACTCAGGCACAGAAACAAGTATATGCTCAGGTGGCCCGGTACTGCAATCGATCTGCGGACCTCATCCCCTTGTCCTTTGTACTGGGTAAGGCCTCCCTCTCCTTTCTGCCCTGTATGTATCCTCCTACCATCTTCCGTGGGCTTTGGGTTGACAGCTCTGAGAGTCAGAATTATCCCAATGGCACAGCCTGGAGGCCAACCAGAGCAGGCAAAGCAGGAACTGAGCACCAGGCCCAGAATTTCCAGACTCCTGAACCTACTCTCCACAGAAGGTACAAGACACGGGCTGGCCTCAATCCTACCCTGAGTGCCAGAGGGGAGCTCAGAGGTGACACCTCCTCCCTCCCTACTCTCACGAGAAGGAGAAGTACTTCTCTTTCTGAGAAAGTTGGCACTCCTCCTCCTCTGGCCTGGCCCAGCAGGCAGGACCAGAGAAGAGGCTGTCCCGCTGACAGCCAGTGAGGCAGGGCACTGCAGTTGAATGTGTCCTCCCGCCACCCCGCCCTGCCTTTGTTCTACTTGCTTTGAACCAGGAGCTCTGGCTCAGGGCAAGATCCTCCAGACTCCTTTCCTGTCCCCCACTACCCATGACGGCCAACCAGGTTTCTATGTGACCCTGGTGGTGAACCGTTGGTGGGCCCAGTACACAAGCATCCCGCTGCCGGACCAGCTGATGTGTGTCATATCGGCCAGCGTGCACGGCGTGGACCAGCGTGGCCGCCTGCTGCGCCGCACTCTCATCCGCTATGCCAACCTGGCTTCGGTGCTGGTGCTGCGCTCCGTCAGCACCCGCGTGCTCAAGCGCTTCCCTACCATGGACCATGTGGTGGACGCAGGTGTGTGGCCCCGAGCCCCTGGTCCGATGCAGGTACCTCACAAGGAAGCCCTGGGGCTGGCGGAGGGCCCAGGGCTCCTCTCGCGGGTCTCCTGGAAAAGGAAGGATGACCCCCAGGGGGCGCTCCAGTGCACCGAGTCCTGCGGCTGTAGGTGAAAGAGAACTGCTTCTTCCTGAGGCGACTGAGAATGTCTTTCTCCCACCCAACCTTGCCCCCAACCCCCACCCCAGGTTTCATGTCTCAGGAAGAGCGAAAAAAGTTTGAGAGCTTGAAATCCGACTTCAACAAGTACTGGGTACCCTGCGTCTGGTTCACCAATCTGGCGGCCCAGGCTCGAAGGGACGGACGAATCCGCGACGACATTGCTCTCTGCCTGCTCCTGGAAGTGAGTCAGCCTAGGACCAGGCCCATGGGTCTTCCTCCCTCCCTCTTTGCCAACTGGAGTCAGAATTTTAGTAGTTAACACTTAGAAGTATGCTAACTACATACCAAGCTCTGCAGAGGCACTGTACCTGTATTAACTCATTTAGCCTTCATGAGAGCCCCTGAATTAGGTACTATTGTGATCACTTCCCCTTTCACAAATGAAAGGAGCCCTGGTGTCGCTGTAGGATAAGCACAGGACTGCTAACCATAACCACCAGCAGATCCACGGGAGAAAGATGAGGCCTTTCTGCTCTTATAAAGATTGACAGCCTTGAAAACCTTATACAAGGTGACTATGAGTTAGAATGACTCAAGGGCATGGTTTGGTTTTGGTTTGGTACACAGATGAAGGAATGCTAGTGGCTCTGTGAGTTAGAGTTGGGCAGCTAACTCACAGAGTTCAACAAGTTCAAACCAAGGTCAGCAGTTCAAACCCACCAGCTGCCCCATGGAGAAAGATAAGGTTGTCTGTTTCCATAAAGGTTTATAATCTTGGAAATCCTATATAGAGTTACTATAAATTGAAATCAACTAGCTAGCAGCCGGCCTTGAGTTTGGGCTGTTTTGCTTGTTTGGTTTTCCACAAATGAGGAAACACAGTCAGTTAGTAGAACTATTGTTAAGTGCCATCGAGTTAATTCCAACTCATAGTATGGAGTCCTGGTGTGGTGCTGTGGGCTAATGTGTCAGACTGTAAAGTTGTTTGAACTACAATGTCCGTGGTTCAGGCTCATCAGCTGCTTCTTGAAAACCCTGTACAGGGTCGCTATGGGTCGGAATCGACTCGACAGCACTTAACAACAAGTCATCCTGTATAGGGTTTCTGAGGAGCTACTGGTGGGTTTGAATCACCAACCTTTCGGTTAGCAGTTCAGTGCTTATCCTATAGTACTGGGAGATTCAATTGCAGACATTCTGGCTGTAATCTGCTCAATGCCCACCATCACAGGCACTTCAACCTGATACCTCTGAGAGCCTAATGAGCCTCCACACCTGGCCCAGGCCTAGTGTGTGCTGAGCTCCCCTCTGTCCTCCTCAGTTTGCCTTGCTTATCTCTGCTGACTTCTTCCTGTTGTTCCACCAGGAGCTGAACAAGTACCGTGCCAAGTGCAGCATGCTGTTCCACTACGACTGGATCAGCATTCCCCTCGTCTATACCCAAGTAACTGCCTCTCTCCTCCTGAGCCTGTGTGCCTACTGTTTACCCTGTATTCTGTGTGAGATACGGAGACAAATTAGACATGCCTCCTGCTCTGACACAGTTCAGTCTAGTGAGACACTGAACAGTCAGTCAAAAGTTTATCCTCAAAACTTCCCTCTACCTCCACCAAGATGATCCTGCCCTGCCTGGTGCTGTCATGTCCTACAATACATTTTGATTACTTGTCAGACTCCCCCACAGATCCTTAGAAGCGTGGACAGCATTTCTCCTGTTCCTCTGCAGCCTACTCTCAGTCCAGCTTCTCCATCTCCAGGTGGTGACCATCGCCGTATACTCCTTCTTTGCTCTCTCCCTGGTTGGCCGCCAGTTTGTGGAGCAAAAGGCCGGGACTGCAGAGGCTCAGAAGCCTCTCGAACCAGGCCAGAAGCCAGCACCAGCCCTGGGAGACCTGGACATGTATGTGCCTCTCACCACCCTGCTGCAGTTCTTCTTTTATGCTGGCTGGCTCAAGGTGGGTAATTTTGTCTCAGTATTCCACATGCCTCACAGTAGGTACTGAGGCTGAGGAGGAGAGATGGTGAAGACACGGGGAATGCTGGTCCATCTAGTTATAGTGGAATGCATGGTACTTATTCAGTGCCAGCCTGTCTGCATTTGGGCCCCGAGGGTGGGAGGGCTCTGAGACCAGAAAACATTACTTCGGCAACCTGCAGGTAGCCGAACAGATCATCAATCCCTTTGGTGAAGATGATGACGACTTTGAGACCAACCAGCTCATAGACCGGAATCTGCAGGTGTGCAAGGGTCTGGGGAAAGCTTTGTGCATCCCCTTTTCCCACCAGTTCTCAACGCGGGTGTGAAAAGGTGGGTAGGGGTCCTGGTGACCTGCTTCCCACCCTTCTGCTGAACCAGGTGTCCCTGCTATCCGTTGACGACATGTATCAGAACCTGCCTCCCGCCGAGAAGGACCCATACTGGGACGAAGATTTGGCGCAGCCGCCCTACACTGTGGCCACGGCGGCTGAGACACTACGACCCTCCTTCCTGGGCTCTACCTTCAACTTGCGGTGAGGACCTCTGGTGGATTTTCATCCGGCTGGTGGGCCCCAAGTCCCCGCCCACTCTCTGGGCAGCCAATAACTAGGTTCCTAGTCCCCGCCCACTCTCTGGGGAGCCAATAACTAGGTCCCTCTAGTTCCCACCTTCTCGCTGAGCACGCCCTCCCGTCCACAGAATGAGCGACGACCCTGAGCAGAGTCTGCAGGTGGAGCCGTCCCCCGCGTTGGCCCGGCGGCCGGGCGTGCAGACGCCGCTGCTTAGCCGCTTTCTGGGTGCAGGCGCGCCCTCTCCTGCCATTAGCCTTCGGAACTTTGGTCGGGCAAGAGGAGCCCCCCGCACCCCGCATGTGCTACGCTTCAGGGACGAAGAGGGCGTGGACCCCGAGGCCGCAGACCGCATAGAGGAGGAGGCGGCAGAGTCAGAGGACGAGGCTCCCGAGCCCTGAGCAGAGGGAACTGGGGCCTGAAGGTCCTGCCTGTTCCCCCAGACCTAACCCAGCCGGCTTTCCTCCACCCACTGCCCACCGAGCCATCCTTGTTCTGCCCTCCAGCTCCATTAGAACAGCATTGCTGTTTGCTCTAAGCAGACCCTGGCAGGAAGGACCTGAGCCAGAACTGGGAATCATGTTCATTTTGGTGGGGTAGAAGGTAGAACCAGCTGCTTGGGGAGGTGAAGATGGAAGGATTGTCAGGCATTGAGGATGTTAATTTCCTAGGCAATGGGGAGCTGGGTGGTCTTAGGCCTATGGTTCTCAAACCTGATCAACCAAGGTCTTTTTTTTAAAGCAGTGTTGGGCAACTCCCAGTGTTACTGACTTATTGCAGAATTTGCATTTCTATTAAGTTCCCAGGTAATGCTGATGCTGCTGGTCCAGTGACCACGATTTGAGAGTCATACATAAAAAGTTTGTGTAACAGTAGTTACTTCTGAAAAGGGAACTCATGGTCAGTGTGTTGGGGGACTTTTGCTTTATCTGTAATGTTCATTTTTTTCTACACTGAGAATATAATCAAGTACTTGTACAATTGTAATTGTTTAAAATTGACACACAATAAGATGAAAAGAAAAGCAAGAGTTTGGGAAACTCCCCTGGAGGTTGATCAAATTCAGATGTGAAGATGAAGGTCTAGGCACCCACCTCTAGACCTTAAGCATTTGAACTTTATGGAGTGCCAAGCCTTTTTCTGCTCCCACTAACCAAACAGGGAGAAAGGACAGCTTGATGAGTGGAGACTGTAGGTCCATCTCCATTGGGTGGAGGGTGGGGGCGGAGACAGGCTGCAGTGGTGGGACATTCAGTTCTGAGGGTAGGGGAAAGGCCCTTGTGGAGACTACCCCACAGAACACTAGATTGGCGCTGGGTTTCACTAAGATTCCTGCCTTCTAGACTCAGCTTCCACCTAAAGAAATTGAATGTCAAAACTGAATGTTAAAAAAAAAACACTGAACATCAAGGCCAAGGGATTGTTGCTGTTATAGGTGACATCGAGTCGGTACCAACTCATAGCAACCTTGTGCACAACAGAACGAAACATTGCCCCATCCTGGGCCAACCTCACAATTGTTGGCACGCTGGAGTCCATTGATGCTGCCACTTTGCCAAGCCATCTCGCTGGGGGGGTCTTCCTCTTTTTCTCTGACCCTCCACCTTACCAAACATGATATCCTTCTCCAGCGACTGGTCCCTCCTGACAATATGTCCAAAGTATGAGACAAAGTTTGGCCATCTTGGCCTCCAAGGAGCACTCTGGCTGAATGTATTCCAACACAGATCTGTTGGTTCTTTTGGCAGCCCATGGCACTTTCAATTTTCTCCTCCAACACCATAACTCAAATGCATCAATTCTCCTATGGTCTTCCTTATTCACTGTCCAGCTTTCACATGCATATGAGGTAATTGAACATACCATAGCTTGGGTCAGGCACATCTTAGTCCTCAAGGCCAAAGGATAGCAAACACCAAAACCCAAAGGAAGGCAGCACTAGAGGCTTGAACCAATTGAATTTTAATTCTGGCCTTGCCACCTTCTAGTTAAGTGACCATGAGATGCTCATCACTCTCTAAGCCTGTTTCCAAATCTATAATGTAAATACAGCACCTCATAAAGAGAATCATTCATTCACAGGGTATTTTGAGTTTTTTGCTGTTTTTGCATAAGAAATGAAGTCCCAGTGTGGCAGTACAGCATGAGCACTAAACTGCCTGTTCAAACCCACCAGCAGCTCCTCAGAAACCTATACAGGGTCCTTATGAATCACCAGCTGCCTCAAGGACACTGTAACAGTTAGAGATAGCCTTACTTTAAGGAGAGAATAGTCAACTGTGAAGATCTGTTGGATCATGTTGAGTGCCTTCAAGTCAGTTCTGACTCATAGCAACCCTGTATAGGGTTTCTGAGGAGTACCTGGTAGGTTTGAACTGGTGACTTTGTAGTTTGCAGTTCAGTGTAGGTCCTACAGTGTCACAAAAAAGACTTTTATGATGTTAAGTAATGTTGTCTGTCCCAACCCATAGCGACCCTGTATAGGGTTTCCAAGAAGCAGCTGTTGAACCTAAAATTGTCAACCTTGCAGTTCAAACAGCTTTGCAGTCTGGCGCATTAACCCACAGCACCACACCAAGACTCCACATAAAGATCATGGTAATATAGAACAAAACCACAAATGGATTTTAAACAAGACACGTGATGGGATCTAGTTTATACTCATAGGGAGTAGAGGGCCACAGCAAGGAATACTAAGACGACCAATGGTTTTGTCTGACAAGAAAGGGAACAAAGGCAGTGGAGATGGACAGGATGGACTAAAGATTCTTTAGAGACAGAACCCACTGGCCTCATTGATGGACTAAAGATGGAAGGAAAGAGGAATAGATACTTTCATAGAGCTCAAGTTAGATAATAAAAGCAAAGAGCTATTGCTTTGCTCTGCTTGTCTTATGTGTACCTTCAGGCCTTTTTTTTTTTTTACTCTAAGGCATCAACTCTACAAGAGAGTAGTACAACTACCCTGTAGGATTTCCTAGCGCTGTGGGTTAATGCACCAGACTGCAAAGCCATTTGAACTGCAAGGTCAGTGGTTCAAACTCACCAGGCTGCTCCTCAGAAACCCTAGTCACTATGGGTCGGAACCGATGATGGCACTCAACAAGGCACCATGGAGGAGCTCTGGTAGTGGTTATGAGTCAGCTGTTAACCTCAAGTTAGGCAGTTGGAAACTATCAGCCATTCTGCGGGAGAAAGATAAGGCTTTCTGCTCCCGTAAAGATTTACAGCATCAGAATCCCTGTATAGGAGCACTGACTTAGAAACCACTCCTCGGCACATTACCATTACCACCAGAGTCCTGGTGTGGTGCTGTGGGCTAATGCATCAGACTGCAGTCATTTGAGTTGCAAGGTTGGTGGCTCAAGCTCATCAGCTGCTCCTTGGAAACTATACAGGGTTGCTATGGGTCAGAACCAACTTGACAGCACTTAAGGCACTGTGGGTGAATACGCTGGATTGCAAGGTCATTTGACTTACAGCTTTGGAAACCTGCAGGGCTAGAACTCCAAGGCATACCACACTTCAGTTCAATGACTAGTCCCTCAAAACATCACGTATCCCTCTCTTCCCAGATTGCTTTCATTCCTCTTTTTCCAACCCATCTTAATGTTGTCCTGAGGTAAATATTTTGTGATATCAAATGGAGGAGCATTCACTAGTGTTGTCCCCTTTGAAAACATGAGTCACGAGGGCAAGTTCAGTTTCAGACCTGAAAGGTGACCAAAGACCAGTTTTGAGGTTCCTCTACTTACTTATGTTAGTGGTTCTTTCAATTTTGTTCCATATCTGACCCATGTTGTTAAGTGCCGTTGAGTCAGTTGTGACCCACAGTGACCCTATATAGGGTTTTCGAGTAGCAGCTGGTGAGCTTGCCAACCTTGCAGTTCAAATGACGCTTTGTAGCCTGGCACATTAACCCACAGCATCACACCAGGACCAACCCTGTGTAAGGTTTCTGAGTGGCTGGTGAAGTTGAACTGTTGCCTTGTGGTTCAAGCTGATTTTTCAGTCCAGGAAGATTAATCCAGTGCCATACCAGGAGAATAAAGAGTAAAAAACTCAAGGGCAGTGTTGAGGAAGTCTACAACTTAAATGTGATCAGGGAAATCCTTAACGTTTGGAGTTATCTGGCTATTTGGAGGGGAAGTATTCTCAAAGCTAATTACAAACTTACTCAGTTCAAACTAGGTTATGTTACATTTTACAGAACCTTAAAGGAGCTCTGGTAGTGTAGTGGTTACAAATTGGGCTGCAAACCATGAAGGTCAGCAATTCAAAACTACCAGCTGTTCCGCGGGAGAAAGAAGATTTACACCTCGGAAATCGCTATGAGTTGGAACTGACTCCACGGCACATAACAGCTGTGAACTACAAGGTTAAGGTCAGTAGTTCAAACCCACCAGCTGCTCCTTGGAAACCCTATACAAGGTAGTTGCTACTGACTTGATGGCACTTCAGTTATTTGCTGTGATTGGGGGAGAACAGCAACTTTACAGAGGGTATAGGATAGGGAAGGAAACTAGATAAGGAATCATTGTGAGAAACCTGTTAGCTAAGTAGGTGCATAAGCATCATTTAAATGTAGCTGACAGGAGCAGCTGGTGAATTTGAACTGCTGACTGTGTGGTTTGCAGTTCAGTGCTGATCCTACAGTGCCACACCAGGAGTTCATAGCAACCGTGTATAGGGTTTCTAAGGAGTGGCCCGTGAGAGCTTGAGCTGCTGACCTTACAGTTCAAACTGGAGTTGTATTCCAGCACATTAACCCACAGCACCACATCAGGTAGTAGTCACAAATAATGTGAAGAGTACTTAAATCTTTCTGACCTCCATGGAGATGGAATTAGGGTCAATCACTATAGTTGTGAAGTTGGGTCAGGATACAAAATGAGGATTATCTAGATCCAGCCATCATTAAATCCACTTTGTTCCACACAGGGAATCAAATGACGAAAATATATTCGCTATTCAGACAAAAACACATGAATAGAATAAACACCTTTAATACATGTCCCCGGATGTGAGGGAGGAGGTTTTATTTGCCTTTCCGGGCCTTGATTTTCCTCAGGTAGAATTCCAACTCCTTGCCCTCTAGAACATAGCCATCTGCTCGGCCACACTGGCCTGGTCTTGAAGCGATACATGCTGTTAAGAGAGGACAGTCCTTAAGGCAAATGATCAAGTAGTCTAACTCAAAGCTATCTCCTAAAAATTAATCCATATTGACTCAAGTCATGTAAGGGTGAGCATGAATTGATGCCCACTGTCTCCTCAGATAATACTTTATCATCAAGTCAAGTCAGTAGCAGAACTGGACAAAGATTTCATCACTGAGACAGTCCCTTTAGCTGGGCATGGACATTCAAACTAGGAACCCAGAGGCAGAGAAAAGCTCCAAGCACAAGCCTATGAACTTCTGCCCAACATTTTTCGTTTTAGTTTCTAAAAGGGTGACCTAACATCCTAATTTACGCATGCATCCTGATATCACTAATAGAGCTTTCCATTTCAGAAGTATCTCAGGATAGTATATGGTCACCTTACCACTCCCTGTTAATTCTCCTGGTGAGCCCAAGCAGTCACACCACAATTCATGACATGCCCTCCCCCCTGCAGACAATAGCCATCTCACCAAGAAGCTTGCCCTGCTGGAACTGCTCCTCCAAAAGACTGCTGATTTTTGCATTCTTTTTTCTTTCATCATATTTTTTCTGAATTTTTTTTGATCGCTTTTTGTTTAATATCTCTTCCTCTTCAGGAGTCTAAATAAAAAAGGACACAGATGGATAGTTAGCTGAGACCCAAAACAGAGATGAAGAAAGGCACCCCAATCCCAGCCTTCCTCAGCACTAAAGACTTTCATCTCTCTCCTATCAGTAGCAGAACTGGACAGTTTTCATCACAAGAAGGCTAGTGTCAAGTTGCCCTGCTATCCCCACTGCCCCTAAAAGGGAGCTGGCTTCCCAAACACACACCAGTTTGGCTCCCTTCTTGCGGCCCAGAGGCAGTGCATAGTGGGACTCGTACCACTGCCGGTACGGTGTGCTGTCAACAAGCACGATGCAGTTCTTCACTAGGGTCTTGGTGCGGACCAGCTCATTATTGGATGCATTGTAGACAACATCAATGATCCTTGTTTTCCGGGTACAACCTGCTCAACGGAGAAAGAAACCATATAAACCAGGTGCCAAACAGCCACACCCCTTAACTTCAAGCTCTTCCACTCTAGTGGGGGCTAAGGAGGTCTTCTTATTGCGGAAAAGCAACCATGGAATTATAAGCTAGTCTTTCGCACACCTCTCTCACCAAGGGAGGTGGTGAGCAACCAGTCTCCAAATGCAGTCTAGTATCATAGATTACTAGAGTTTAAAGATTGGTCAGAATGGGGAGACCTTTCCAGCTCCCTAAAGGTCCTTAAGCAAGCAGCGTCAAGGGCTTTGGTCTGGGCCAGGGATTTCCTACTGAAAGCATTCTGTAAGTTAGAAAGTTTTACTCACACTCAGAACCCCAGGAGAAGTTCCCCACATCCAGCCTCAGGGCCCGGTATTTCTTGTTGCCTCCTCTAACGCGGACTGTGTGTATGCGGCGGGGGCCGATCTGGGAAACACAAGAGTCAAAGAACTAGGTTAACAAGATGAACAGAAGAAATGGAGGGAAACCCAAGATGGACGGAGGTAACACCGTCAGTGTAACTATGACAAGTCCTAACACTGGCAAGTGGCACACAAGTGACCAAGACAGTCACAACCACGCCTAAGGGTACTTTTTCATCACTCTAGTTACCTCCAAGAGAGAAAACCTGACCCCCGAACAATAAAAACTGATTCCACGGAACCACAACCATTCCATTTCCTCCCGGAATCCTTGCAAGTCCTAGAACCTACACCGATGATGAGAAACTAAGTCATGGGTGGGGGAAAAGGGTAGAGACCATGCAAGGTTTTTCGCTCAACAATGGAAATGGCCCAGTGCAAACTCAGTCCCGACTAGGGGCCGCCTCTCCGGTAGGATGGCCCACGCACGCACCTTAGTGTTGGCAGCCGGGCGTCCCAGCTCATACTTCCGCTTCTTGTGGTAGGGCTTTCTCTTGCCCCCGGTCTTGCGGCGCTTGTGCCAGTTGTCCCGGGAGATACCTAGACGTGAAGGCAGGGGGCAGAAGCTTGAGCTATTGAACTCGTGGCCGGCGCCTCGCCAGCTTCCCAAGTCTCACGCTGGGAGGGCCGCGGGCTCAGTTCTCCAAGGTAGGCTTCCCCACTACGCACTCGGGAATTCGCAGCATTACCGTGGTGTCATCATGCACGCGCGGCCCACCAGGACCTCCCCGCGACAGCCATGTTGGTGCGGCTGGCAAACCCTAAACCCTTGCAGTCCCCGGGGAACTCGGCGGTCAAAACCCGATAACTAACCCTCCTCATAGTTATTCGTTGCCGGGGATCTGGGCGCCTGCACCCGTAATTTGGCTGCAAGGCAGGATGGCGCCGGATTAAGCTCACCCCACTATCATGGCCGCAAAGCAGACAGAGACTCACCCATCGCTCGACGCTGGCTAGAAAGAGAAAGCGCAAAGCCTCACGGTCCAGTTTGTAAAACGTAGCCCCACCCCCTTTACGTATAATCCGGCGCCGTTAAAGTAAACCCGGAATACGACGTTATTGACGTTTCAGCCGCCGCGCCGAGTGCCTCAGGGTCTGGGAGGATCCTTCTGTTTAAAGAGCCCCCGGCCCTCCTACCCCTCGCAGTTCTGAAGTTCTGGGGAAATGCTGGATGGGCGAATCCTGCGATGTCGCCATGTGTGCAAGCTTTCCATAGAAGTTAAGGGGTTTAGTACACAACAGAGGGGAGCAGCATAGTTCTTAAAAGACTAGTTTCAGTCAATAGCAGTAGTCCAGGAAGAGAGATACGTGTGTTGGAAAAGATCGAATGGTGATTTTTTTTTTTTTTTAAATCTGGTTAAAATATGCACACCAAAACATTCGCCAACACAACTTCCATATTTACAATTGAGTGATATTGATTACATAGATCACATTTGTGCTACCTTTTGGGTTAAGTGTTGGCTTACTAACCGCAATATTGAGGGTTCAAACCTACCAGCCGCTCTGGGTGAGAAAGATGATGCTGTCTGCTCCTATAACGATTTAGTGTAAGGAATTATACAGGGTCATTATGAGTTATAATCTACGCCTTGGCGATGGATTTAACGTTATTTTTTGGGGGGTTCCAAAGTATTACTTGTCAAGTATTTCATTCTTCTTGGACCAACTATCAGCACTTATGGAAGCAACGATCAAGAAATCAAAGGACATATTGCATTAGGCAAATTTAATGCACTAGACCTTTTTAAAGTGTTGAAGAGCAAAGATGTCAGTTTGAAGACTAAGGTGCGCCTGACCCAAACCATGGTATTTTCAATATCCTCATATGTATGCAAAAGCTGGACAGTGAATAAGGAAGGCCTTAGAAGAATTGATGCCTTTGAGTTACGGTGTTGGAGGAGAATATTGAAAGTGCCATGGGCTGCCAAAAGAACCAATAGATGCGTTTTAGAAGTGCAGCCAGAGTGCTCCTTAGAGGCCCAAATGACCAAACTTCGTATCTCATATTTTGAACATATTGTCAGGAGGGAATAGGAAGAAGGAGAGGCAGACTAGAAGGACTGATGCATTTAAATTGTGGTGTTGGAGAAGAATATTGAAAGTATCATGGACTGCCAGAACAACCACATCGGTCTTGAAAGAAGTGCAGCCAGAATGCTCCTTAGAAGCCAGATGGCCAGACTTCATCTCTCGTACCTTGGATATGTCATCAGGAGGGACCAGTCCCTGGAGAAGGACATACATCATGCTTGGTAAAATGGAGGGTCAATAAAAAAGAGGAAGACCCCCAACAAGATGGGTTGATTCAGTGTCAGCATCAACGGGTTCGAAAGTAGCAACAATTGTGAGGATAGTGCAGAACTGGGCAGTGTTTTATTCTGTTGTGCATAGGTTCTTTATGAGTTGGAACTAACTTGACTGCACTTAACAACAATTTACAAAGTAGAAGGGCAGGTTTCTTATTTGTTTTTAAATAAATTTCCAGGGATGGGCAGACCCTCCTACATTTGACTTTGGAAGTATTCTATCACTTTATCCCTTCTTTCTTTTATAACCTCAACTTTCCACTGCTTCCCAGTTCATTCAAGATATGACCTAAATTCCTTTCCAAGAGTATCTGGCCTCTGCTTACCTCTGTGGCGTTATCTATCTGCTACCCCTCCCAGGAGCTCTGGTAGCCTAGTGGGCCTAGTGGTTATAAATTGGGCTGCAAACTGCAAGGTCAGCAGTTCGAAACTACCAGCTGTTCTGTGGGAGAAAGATGAGGCTTTCTGCTTCGGTAAAGATTTACAGTCTGTGAAACCCTGTATAGGGTCGCTATGAGTTGGAACCGACTCCACGGCACATCACCACCACCACCACCATCCCTCCCAGTCACTCAACTCCAGGCATATACTGACCTTGCTGTGGCAGAAATACTTTTCTCAGTCTCAAACATTATCCCCATACACTGGAAGAGCTCCTCTCAGCCCACTTTTCAAAGTAGCAACACTTTCTTCTCTTTTTCTATTCAGCTAAAACTACCTAATATTGCTTTTCAGGCTCATTTATTTTCTATCCTCCCCACTAAGAAGCATAGGAGACCTAGTATGGTGATGGAGGATAAGCACTGGACTTCTAGCTATAAGGTTGGCGTTCAAAACCACCAGCAGCTCCTTGGAAACCATATTTAGGAGTGCTATGCATGGGAGAAAGATGAGGCTTTCTACTCCCGTAAAGATTTACACCCTCAGAAACCCTGTACAGGGTCACTATGGATCAGAACCGACTCGATGGCACTTAACAACAACAACAACATGAGTCAGAACTGATCAACCAGCACTTAACAACAAGAAGCATAAGGGTAGAGACTTTGTCTTCTTCACCACTTTATCTCCAACCTAGAAAAATGACTGGCATTTAGTGGCCACTCAATAAGCTCTGGTAGCGTTGTTGTTACAAATTGGGCTGAGAGCCACAAGGTCAGCAGTTGGGAACTACCAGCTGTTCCACAGGAGAAAGATGAGGCTTTCTGCTCCCGTAAAGATTTACAGCCTCGGAAACCCTGTACAGGGATGCTATGAGTCGGAACCGACTCCACGGCACATAACAACAATAAATATTAGAATGGTTCTGGTGTGGCACTGCAAAATAATACACTGGACCACAAGGGTGATTTGAACTGAAAGGTCGGTGATTCAAACCCACCAGCCGCTCCTCGAAAACCCTATACAGGATCACTATGAGTCGGAACTGACTCAACGGCACTTAACAATTTAATAAATTGTATCCACTTGATTTTCTCATTAGACCATGGGATCTTAAAGTACAGTGAACCTGTAAGATCTAATGCTGAGTGAAATTGTTGTTGTTAGGTGCCATCGAGTCGGTACCGACTTGAGCCCATTAATGTTGCCACTTTACTAATCCATCTCGCTGGGGGTCTTTCTCTTTATCTCTGACCCTCCACCGTATCAAACATGATACCCTTCTCCAGTGACTGGTCCCTCCTGACAATATGTCCACAGTATGAGTGAAATTAGTTGATTGTAAAAGGACAAATACTGCATGAGACTGTTGTAAAAAGTCAAGAAAAGGTTTTCTGAAAGGAACATTCTATGATGGTTTCCAGGAGTGGGAGGGGAGGCAGAATTATTCACTGGCTAGAAGGTTTTGTTGTTGCTGTTGTTAAGTGCTATCGAGTCGGTTCTGACCCATAGGCTAGATGGCAGACCTGCATTAACTTGGTGACCAGGAAGGCAGTTTAAAAAAAAAAAAAAAAAAAGTACAGTGTGTGTCAGTTATTCCACTTGTCTCCAGCCCTGTGACACAGAGAAGAAAAAGACAATTGTATTGGCATAAAAAGAAGAAGATGGATTCAAAGAGCACTTGTTAGGTGATGTAATTTTGCAATAGACTAGACTACGGAAATGAAGGATGAGTGACCATGAAGTATTTCCCCTGAGAAACTGCAGGGATGGTGAGGTGACACCAATTTAAAAGCACTTCGAGAGAGGAAGATTTCTAGGAAGTTTAGTCTTTGGATGAGTTAGAATTGCCTGTGAGACATATAGGTGCCTATTCTTTGTATTGCAAATAGTTGGAAAGATGAACCTGGAGCTTAGAAGACAATGGGATAAATATTTCTCTCAATCTCTGTAATCTAGTGCCAGAAGCCCTCTAACTTCAGGAAGAGGGAGGAAAAGAAGCAAGATCAATACACAAAAGACAGTCACAAAAGGACACACACTATATGAGACTACTGTTGTAAAAAGTTAAGATTTTCTTTTTTTTTTTTTTAGATCTCTGGATGGTCTTTTAAAAAACCAAACCAAAAAAAAACCCCCAAAACTTTTGTTGTGAATTGAATGAAGGTTTACAGAGCAAATCATCAGTTTTACATTCAACAAATCATACTCTTTGTTTCATTACAATGACTGCAGTCCCCTTCCTGCACCATCAGTTAACAGTATTCATCTTTATTCACTTTAACTCCTGCATTCCTCCCTGTATCTTCTGTCTCCTTTATCTTTCCCTGCCAACCTCCCCCTTGTGTATTGTCTTCCTCATCACGCATGTTAATATGTGTCTACCCCCTAGTGGTTCCCTCCCACTCCTGATAACATTATAGAAGGCTTCCTTTATCAATTAACTTTTTACAACTGTTGTTGTTGTTGTTGCTGTTAAGGGACACCAAGTTGGTTCCGGCTCATAGCTACCCTGTGTAGGGTTTCTGAGGAGTGGCTGGTGGGCTTGTGGCTAGCAGTCCAGTGCTTATCAGTGCCACACCAGGATAGCAGTCTCATACAATATTTGTCCTCTTGTGATTGACTACTTTCACTCAGAATGGTATCCTCCATGTTCATCCTTGCTAGGAGGTATTTTAAAGATTCATCATTATTCTTCAACGTTGCATAATAGTCTATTGTGTGTATGTACCAAAGTTTGTTTAAATCATTCTTCTGTTGATGGGCATTTAGGCTATCTCTATCTTTTTGTGATTGTGAACAGTGCTGCAGTGAGCATGGGTGTGTATCTATCTGTTTGTGTCACAGCTTTTATTTCTTAAGGATATATACCAAGTAGAGGGATTGCTGGGTCCTATGGTATTTGAAAGTGAAGAGGACTTAAAATATTTACTGATGAAGATCAAAGAGCACAGCCTTCCGTATGGATTACAACTCAATGTAAAGAAAACAAAAATCCTCACCACTGGACCAATAAACAACATTCTTATCAATGGAGAAGAGATTGAAGTTGTCAAGG